CACCATCTATGACAAAAACATCTTTAAAACTTATATCATGAATAAAGGAATATCATCCCCACTGTCTATATCACTGTCACTCGAAAACACCTTATCAGTGTCGTAGTTTTCAATCATTTCAATAACAGTATTCATTCGCAGGCCCCTTCCGTAGTGAGAAGTCGCCATTTTGATTTTACTTTCACCAGCTAGGTCTAGAAAATCGCCGATTTCTCGCTCATATATATTTCTATCGTCCTTTATATCATAAATAAATGAATATCAACGCCACTGTCTATGTTACTGTCACACGAAAACTTCTCTTCAAAGTCCGGATTTTCAATCATTTCAATAACAGTATCCCTTCGCAGGTCCCTACCGTAGCGAGGAGCCGCCATCTTGATTTTACTTTCTCCAACTAAGTCTTGAAAATCGCCGTTTTCTCGCTCATATATATTTCTATCGCCTTTAAAAATGGTGGCAATGAGAGACAAGAAACATACCCGGATGTTAAACTAAATATCATTTCATGACTCACGATACAAAAGAGTACAGAAGACGATCTTTCCAAGATACGCACATATGCGGTTCTGGGCGTTTGGGGTAAGCGATAATTGAACCGCACATATGCGGTGACGGGCTCTATGGGGTTAAGGGGGATTATCTGACAGTAATCTAGTGAGACTCCCCGCGGTGATAGATCGATCTAAAAGTTGTGAGAACAGAGCCTTAAACACTATTGCTGCAGAGATGCAAAGTTTGTATAGAAGCCAGGTATTCTAAAGGGATTTTTTATTTAATCATCAGCTATGACTTATTGTCCTGGCGTGACATTGCTAACCTTCACAAGCCTTTGCGGACCCTGATGTCTCCTGGTTGTTTAGTGGTTGTGTGGATAACAAACAAGGAAGGCCTTAAAAATCACCTCATTGAGAAGATCTTTCCAAAGTGGTCAGTCAGATACCTGACAGAATGGTATTGGTTGAAGGCAAGTACCTGTATGTTATTAAAAGATACTTTTGACTTCATAACCAACTGATTTACCAAATTCTGTTACAAGGTTACATAATGATTTCTCAGTTAACATCATTTTTCTGGAAAATTTTTTTTAGTGTAATATGATAGCCAATTTTTCTGTTACTCGCATTTAGTTTGGGTGAAGTAAAAATCTGAGCTTTTGGAATACAGGCCAAGGTCTCGGGTTATTAAATTTTAATGGTACCTCCATATTATGAACATATAATATCTAAAAGTCATTTTCTGCAGGTGACTCGCTCAGGTGATCCTATTTACCCACTGAATTCACCACACAAGAAACCATTTGAGAAATTGATAATAGGACGATATTACCCTGTAGGCATACCAGTCAACAACTCCAGTAATTTCCCGAAAAAACCCAGGGTGATTGTCAGCATTCCTTGCAGTAATCATTCACGGAAGCCACCATTAGGAGGTAGTTTTTTTTTTCTTTTAATTAATTATACTTAAAAAACAACAAAGGAAGTTGTGTTATAATGTTAAAAATGACTTACTGATAAGTATGCAGGCTGATGTTACCTAACAGTAGACTAGAGATCATTTGTAATAGACCTATCACAAACCATTTTAGGTGTTTGTTTGGAGTGTGTCATATGGGAAATTTTGCGACATATTAATTATTCAAATAATTTTCTAATGTGTATCCTTATAGACATTCTGAAGAAGTTTGTTCCAAAAGATGGCACATGCCTTGAAATGTTTGCCAGAAATTTGCAACCAGGCTGGTATTCATGGGGAAATGAGGTGGGCACTTAGATTAATTATGTAAATGATTGCATTGACTGAATGGACGTCTGCAGTTGATTGGGTTGCATTTTGCATTTGATATATATCAATGAACCTTGTGTGTGTGTGTGTGAGAGAGAGAGAGAGAGAGAGAGAGAGACTTTACATTTTTGTTGTTTTTCTGTATGATAAGTGGTCACATTTATTTGAAGTAATCAAATGTTTACTTTACATTATCTTTTTAGAATTTGTAATGCAATTATATTAAATATATTTTGTTTAAACTTGGTGTATGATCTTCAGTTCTTTGTTACAGGTGCTCAAGTTTCAGCACATCGATTTCTTCAAAGAGATTCAATGTAAACAAACTGCCTGTCCTGCCCATGATGCAGATTAATACTACACCATTTTGTCACAGTCAGATATGTTTACTTGGTGCTAGTACAAATTACAATGCAATAGGTTTTAAGTCATATAAAAAGCCATGCGTTGGGTTTTGTTTGTAAGTTGTGATGGCGTGCACTGTACTCAACACACTAAGGACACTTGCTTCTTCATTGTCATGCATTACACTCGAGGCCTCGATGTTTGCAGATTACTCAGAGTTCTTTGGACATGTCCTATATCCTCTGTACTTGTTTACTGGCTGTCTGCAAACTCGAAATTTCACAAGAACTCGCGTGGCACATAAGATTCTGTGCAAAATTTTGCCATGTAAAAGCCCGTTCAGCCTGTTGTGACCAGGGCTTTTAGGCATCTCCAGACCTTAATCTGATCAATTGTTTTGTTCCACAATAAATATTAAATATTTATTTTAAATCCAGGCTTTTTTTTTTTTTTTCGAAGGGGAGATGGTCTTCCAACAAAGCACTTGATTGCTACCTTTTTATTTAGCTTTAGCATACTATTATCAGTCTATTTTTTATTTAATTATTCTGTTGTAAAATCTCAATGGTATTTGTATATAATAACTAGTTACATTATTGAAATTAGTTTTTTGTTTAGTAAATGGATTGCACTTTTTATATACAACAGATAAAACATCAATAGGTCAACTGATACTAGTCATTTTACATATACAGGAAATTTAAATTGAAAAATTTCCTCAGACGTTAAGAAAATATTTTAATGCAAATTTTAAGTTTTTTTTAATGCATTTATTTTATATTCTTCTTCATCTGTCAACCATGCATACTGAGCTTAATAAAAAAGAAACTATGTTTTAGACAATTTTTTGCCTTTTTGATGTGTGTTGCCAATGCTAATTATCCGGTGACAGAAAATTGCATGTGTTACACTGGAGACCAAACCTGCATACCATATCGCGGCAATTATTAGATTCATTGATGTTACTTCACCCACTTAGGTCAGTTAAATTCCAGGTTAGCGTAACAGTTAAAACTTAAAAAATTAAAATGGAAATTAAAGATTTTTCTCCTGCACAGGTTCAAACTGACCACAACGTATTATATACTTGTATCTACAGCCCTGGTCATTCACTTCTCCATTGTTGATCAGTGTCATTTCTCTCCTTTTCGTTTAATTCAGGTGTTCTGAACTGATTTCAGTGATGTAAAACACCACTAAATTTAGCAGGAGGATTAACAAAGCAACAGCAAGGAATCAAGTTATTTTAGCCAAAAAAGCAAAGGAGAAGACAGTGAAGAATCAAACGACAGTATGACACAATAAGTTTAATAGCGATATAAATGACAACATACACTCAGCTCTTCTGGTTATATTAGTAGCAGCATAGTATAAATGAAAACAAAGACTGAGGATGATTAACTACAGACTGATAGTTTGAGAGTAAATATAAAATAAATGAAGATAAAATGTGCAGCTGTGGTTACTACTGTCAGGTGCTAAGATTTGAAAATTGAAAATCAAAGAGGATGTAGTTACAGACTCCTGCCACAAACAAACCTTGAAAACAAGAAAGAGGATTCCCCACCTTTTGGTCTTGTTATGAAAGGTTGCAGTCTCAATAATCAAAAATGACCCCCCACCCCCTTTTTTTTTTTAGTTATTAACTTTTTCCATGGTAAGTTTTTGGCAGAAATCCAACAACAGCAAGTTCAAGCAACACTCAGAATCCAGATAATACCCATCTAAATTTCACACTACTAATGTCTGAATATGAATAGATAGATAGTAGTACAGTATAGACAATACTATATACAAAATCCTAGTCTAACCAGCCCCAAACTGCGATCAATTGTTATTTTGATCACTACAGGCCCGCACAGTGGTCAGTTTTCTCTCACATGTCCTAGAAAGTTGACAGCTTGAAAATTATAAAGGAAGTTTTACAAAGCCATAAGGAACAGAGAATTGAAAAGTTATTTGAGAAAACAGAGGAAGACAGCTGCTATACTCCACTTTCAACTCAAATTGACAAATCTCAAAAAAGCCAATTTCAATGTTTTTTATTACAAAAAAACTTCGCAAAATGATTATCTCTCTGGTCTTTGTTGGGATATCACATTTAATATGTATATATATATAACTTCAAATACTTGAGTGTCGCCTGTCTTAACAATTTAGCTCTGCATCTCAAAACTGAGCTCCTCAAAAAAAGGAGTAAAACAGCTTTGATAATTTCTCAATAAATAAAACATTGAGAAAAATGTTGATAAAAAAAGCTACAAAAACTTTTGTGTGTGAAATTGTTCCCTTGTTTTTGAGGCACATGTGGGCCCTCTTGCTGTCTTTTGCTACACCTCATCTCCCTAACAGATACACAATTCCAGTATCCAATCTAAAGATGGGTAACATTATGTCTAGCAATGGACCAATGGGAAACGAGCTACCACACCCCCTTCAAATATGAGTATCTTCCAAGAAATACCTTGCATTCCAGTCTTTGGTGTAATACCAGTAATCACAAATAGGGGGTTTAAGTAATTGCATCGCTAAACTTCTAAGTTTTTTCCCCTGAAATATGATTGTACTCAAAACAGAATCACATGTCAACACATACACTTTTGGTGTAAAACTAAGAATGTGAAAGAAAAATGGACTTGACTTTTCCTTGGGCCTGGAGGGCAATCACAAAATAGGGCATTTTTAGAGAACTTTTATAGGATTACATTAACATGAGATAATTATAATATCAGCTAGGGCCAGTAAGAAAATGCTGCTGAAAAATTGTTCATCACTTCAAGTATTCTTATATACAAAATTGAGAAAATGCAACCTTTGGAAGGTGTGTAGGATTTTTCAGAGATCATGAAACCAAAAACATTACAATCCAACCAGGCAAAAAAACATTAAACAAGGGAAAATGTGATCCCTTTTTCAAAATGTTAAAAGGCCTATTTGGATTTTGAATAAAAATTCTAAAATCAAATTGTACTAAAATAGCCTCCCAAACAATTTAAATGCAGAAGTTTCAAGCATGCTTTTATGTTAATATGACCATTAGAGGTCAGATGGGGTCATGACCTCTGCAAATCTGACACCTACACAACTAAACGCTTAAGTGCTCTACACTGAAAAAGTCATCAGCTATTGTACATATCGTCCGTGTCCTCTAAAATTCCACTGTAGGCCGAAATTTGGTGGAAAGAGGGCAGTCTACCATGTGCTGTTCTGCTAACAAGGTCACTTAATTTGTGATGATTTATTGGAAATTTACTTCAAACATGGTCAAACAAAAGCCAAAATGGTCCTTCAACAGAATTCTCAAGAAGTTCCAATAGTAACTGAAAGTAATCTTTAAGGAATGACTGTTGATGGTTTGAGAATTTGGAACACATGCCAACTCTATCATAACCAGCACTAGTGGACTGCAGACAGTCGAAAAGTACATCACTGATCAAGGCACCCCCAACCCTGGTAAAGCTTTGTGCTGAATAAACATATTGGAACCATTAAATGAGAAAAAAAATCTACAAGATACATTAATATCAAGAAAAATACATATTATTTACAGCGCCTCTGCTGGAAATGGGTCAGGATTCGCTCCTTCCTGAGACATTAGAGTTCAAAGTTCAAAACTTGTGCAGAGAGTCAGAAATAACCACTTGGGTTCACTAATATTACAACAGATCACCCTCCATCTAGATATAGGTTTATATAATATAAAAGTAGCTAGAGCCAAACGCTACAAAAATTGGAATGCCATAGAAACGAGTAATTCAATGATACTTGTCTCAGAACCTTGAAAGAATTACACCGGGAATCAGGATTGGCTGATGCAGACCCCAAAGGACTTGAATCTAACCACTGAGATATCAGCTTTGATTGTCTGAAGCCAATCAACCTTGTGCTGTCCATTTGGTTCAAGGCGCAAGGAAGGGGGTATCATCAATGGTCAATCTTAATTCCAACATTAAACGTAAAGCATCTGAATCTGTAGTCTGCCTTTTGTTGTCATACCCAGTCTCCCACTTCCCTAGAGAACCGTCTGCAAGACAAACATCCCCACATACCCATGTGGTATACACGACTGAGCTTGGTTGACCTTTAGCTAGACTTTTACACCAATCTGGTTACTAATAAAACACTTGAGTTAGGTTACCTTACCAAATAACAGTTACTTCAAATGCAAAAATATATGATACATATACCCTCCCTGCTGCTGAAACTCTGACCTCCCAACCTGCCCCAGTATACATCATAATAATAGTATTGTAATAACAAGAATTAAACACCCAAAAATGCAAAAATAGGAATTATAAAAGGCTACATATACCTTGTATCTATATACTACTTGCACAAATTCTTTTGGTACTATTTTACCATAGGATTAACTAGATTATAAAAAGCTAGGAAAATAATTTCTCACCTGATAATATTACAAAGTACTTCATCATAGAGGCTCAACTTGCCACAGCTATATATGCAGTAACAGCCTTCCCCACCCCATCTCAAAAACAATACCTTAGCCACTGTTATAATTTGATATCTTAGTACACAAAATAATCTATTGCCAAATATATTTCTTTAAGTGTAAAAAGATAACCTTGATGAGCCTGTCCTGTCCCATCTCAGTTGGGTCTCAGAGAGACCATCCAGTTTTGGGAGAACACCCATATTTCCCATCTGATTAAATCCAATGTAAGTTACAGTGCTCTGAGAACAGCTTAACCTTGTGTAAATGCAAACAATCACAGCTATACATTACAATACAATACAATACAGATTGCACTTCAAAGAAAATAGCTGTGAAAAGTTGAGGCTGTTATAAGTTCTGCATCCAATTAAATAAGTCTTGGTTTTTTTCTTTTCTCAAGACAAATATAAGATGCATCCTGGTAGAGAGCCTACTCTCTGTAGGCATTGTTTATTTTGTATACAATATCATATACTTCTCTTTAATATATATATATATATAAATTTAAACTGAAGTCCCTTAAAGAATTTGTTCCCTTGGTTCCACTGCTATAATGCGAGAGTACTTCCCAGAGATCAAATGGTTGACTTGGAGAAGGAGACTCGTAGGTGACTAGAGTCACTCAGCTGGTAGTTGTGCATGCCCTGAAATTAATTACACACAGGTAAATTATACACTATTCATGTGCCAATATCAACTTTCATTTATCATATTAGTAGAACCTTATTTTCAAACACTAGGAATTTTTACATAAGAAAACTCACCATCAACCCTAAGACTGCCTCCTCAACTTGGGACATTTCAATCAAAGCCATCTTTCTGTCTTTGCTGAAATTTACCAGAAAGTTGGACTTACATTTCACAATGTAAAATGATACTCATGCCAGTCAGTTAAAAACTCCAAATTACAATGTTATATCTCAAAATTTAAACAAATGCTGTTGCCAATTTTATAAATTACAACAAAATAAAAAACACTGATTTTCATACATACGGGAAAAATTTAAAATTTTTCACTACGCCATGTTTCCCAAAAGCTTCTTTCAGCTCTTCTTCTGTGGCAGTGGGTCTGGAATTTTAAAAAATTACCAAAGGCGCTGTAAAATGTGGAACCATCTCTGTAGTACAGAGCAGAAATGTGCACCTTCCAGGCTTGTATGATATTGTTGTGCCCATAATTACACTACACATCATCATAAGTCCATTTCTGACAAGACAATTTTAAATTACCAATGCATTTGCATAAGAGTGTGTTCCCTCAGATAAATCATGGGTAAGATCAAGTAACAAATGGCAAAAAGTACCTTTTTATCAATGAGTTGGTGAGCTACTTACGGAATGTTGGACAGATGGAGAGTGGCAGAAGGGGGATAGATATTCTGGTAATTCTTGGATCCTTTCTTCTTGAATCTGTGCAATGGAGAGTTTGTGTAATCTTTTGTCAGTTGACCACCATCCTGAAAAACAGTTACCTCACTGAAATATTCTTTCCCTCTGTAAGAGAGCATGTATTATAATAATGCAAATTGTGCTCAGATAACTTGTGACTGTACAAGTGTGACATTTGTATGATCAAACAAAGTTGCCATTCCTAATAATGAGAAAAATTTATAATTCAAATCTACTTGAATTAATATAGCAATCTTGTTGTACTAGGGTAACTTATATCACTGGGTGCAAAAAGTTCAGAACAGATAACTTCTGCAATGTTAAGTTAAAAGTAATGTCACATTGACAAGACAACAACTCACTGTTTGTCCATCTTTAGGCATCTGCACAACTGGATGTTTGGATGGAGCCACCCGGATCTGCTTGTCCCAAACCTTCACCTTGTCCAAGTATTGAATTGCTGAAATGAACAATAGCTCATCCTGCATCAAAAACTCAACATGACACCTCACTTCTTAATGAACAAAATATCTTTCTTTTTGTTTTCTTTTATTTGAAATGCATAGCATAGTGTCAGGAACTATTCATAACTAAACTTCGATAAGAATTTGTTATAAATGACCTCATTCAGGGCTTTGAGGCTCACATTTAAAATTTGCAAGACTATCTTACCTAAGGCTGCCTGTTTTGGTTCAGCGAACTGAATGAGTGCATTGTCTTTCTTGTTGAATAGGATCTTCACACGGTGTACATCACCGTATACCCCTAAACAGAAGCAATGAGAATGGACTGTCAACTTCTTGTAAGAGGCCATAAGTTCAATCACACTTGTTATAACAACACAATTAACTAAAGTCAAGCAGCTATGAGGCATCAAAACCTGATATGTCTGATTTTGAAAGATTTGTCAAATGTATAAAAAATCAACTGGACACTTTTTTTTTTTTTTTACATCACCACCAAAATTTCCAAGTGTAGGTTTACATTTCAAACATAATGATTCCATTGTGGAACAACAGGAGGAGCTTTATCATCTTAGTTGTTTTTTTGTAATCCAAAATCCCTCAGGTAATCAAAAAGTAAAAATCAGGTGTAGGGAAATTCCAACTGCTTTACTTTAATTGCAACGTGTTCTAAACTACACACAAATTAAACATACTGCTAATAATGCTGACAACAGTTACAACAACTCAAAGACTTCCACGCTCTTGACATAAAATGAAACATTATCAAATGAATGTGTGTAGGTTTCAGACTTTCAAAGCCCAAGTTACAAAAGTGAAAACCAAATGTTATTTCTACAGAGACATTTGTACTTGAAAAGCTCTATGAATCTTGGTGAAAAGATTAAAAGCTTAAAAGATCAAGAGTGAACTCATGCAATATGTATAACTGCCTACTTGTGAACTTCTCCAATTTCTACTCTAGTCAAAGCTTTAAGAATAAAAAATATCATGCGGACTTAAAAATTAATGATTGATAATAATTGTATACAATACCAAACAATGCACGCACACGCGCACACACACACACCTAACTGTTTACATTCAAAATAAAATAATAATTCTACATCTACAAACAAGAAAAAATTGAAAAATAAACAAGTGCTTACACACATACCAAATAGGGTAAACAGAGCATCTGGCGTAACCATCTATAGTTGAAGTATCAGAACGGAATTTGTTTAGCAGAGCGAAGAGGAAGATCAGTTCCGAGCAACGTAGAGAGAGTCCACAATTGGAAACACCAGCAGCAGTAGATGATAATGGGATGGGGAAAAAGAAAACAGGAATATATGTATATATTCATAAATATATATGTGTGTATCAATCACGAAACTAATTATCTGGAAATGTGATGATGATCAATTAGGCAAATTGAAAATTGATGAAAAGATTTGGATTGTTTGTTCAATTCACCTGAAGCTCTGGCTTTGTTGCTCCAGCCAATGCCTTTGAGCAATGCAGTGAAAACTACTAATTAGCTTCAGTGTGGATGTTTATTAGTTTTATTAATAATATAATCACTGACGAAAGATAATTATAATCAGATTCATAAAAAATCACCATGCAAAAGAGAAAAAACATAAGAACATGCAGACATCATCAATAAATTTCAAAGAATGTGATGAGTACTTTAAAATCAATGAAAGCCCCTCTTGATTGGTAGATTATTAATCACAAATAAAATAAAGCAAGCATGCTTAGAGTGTAATAAATAACATGAGATCTTGCAAACATGCCCCCACTCAAACCAATTTAACTAAAACACCAAAATACACATTAATAATAAACTGTAATATAAAAGCAATAAAGATCTTCTTCAAGGAAACAACAAAAACCTAAAACAGGAAGAAAAAGGAAATGTATTTAGATAAGAAATTATGTCAGACAGAACTGACTAACACCAACCCAACAGTCCATGACAACATTTCTAATTTCAAAAAGTGCCAACAAAACCAAAAGAAACTTCAAGGTGGTTACATGCACAACAATATGACGCATCTCTATCTCTTCTCCCCAGGAGGAAAAAAGATCGTCACAATCTAAGCCTTCTGGTATAATTGTGGAAAGCACAGTGATTAGGTATCAGTAATTTAGCAGTTGAGGTAGTTTAAAAATCTCAGTATTTCAAATGGCAACCTAACCACTTTGCACAATCAATTTCGGCTTCCACACAACATGGGTTTGCTACATCATGCAATTATGAGATGCTCCCCTCCAGACCAAAAAAAAAGGCTTTGTCTATTTTACTTTTATCCACCCAAACTATGCACAAATAAAACCTTTTTCAACACATCTTTTGAAATGACCACTATTATAAAATTGTTATCAAGGAGTCTTTATCTCAAAGCAAGAAATAATCCCCAGCCAATAAAAACATTCATGTGGAAGCCATCGCTCCAGTGACTATTTGCAGTATGGTGCTCTAAGGGATTAAGAAATCGTGCTTCTAACTTATGCTATTGCCGCACTAGCTCAAAAGTAACGACAAAAGGCAGGCATTGCTGCTTCAGTGAACATCACCAATCAATTTTGACAGCTTGTATAAGGTTTCACAATGGGCAAAGGAAACCAAACACAAAAACTGATTTGGGGGAGATGAGAAGCTCATCCCATCCTTAGGGTAAATTTGATTAAGACTTTGAATTTGCTTTAACTTGAGGAGAGCAAAGGGGAGAAAACCCAATCAAGATACAGAGATTGAGCCGAGAGAAAAACATATAGTTTAAGTGAGACCAGTTAAGTTAAAGTCATAAGGCAGATGACAGAATACACCATACACTGTACTGAGGAATCTCAACCAATGTCATTAAAGTGAAAAATATCCAGTCTAGTAGAGTTGCCTACATTTAAACATTCAATAATGTATAAAATGAGTCATGCACAACATTGCTTCATCAAAAACCATTACTGTGGAATAATACTGAAGAGGCAAATAAATCTGTAACATGTAAACCACGTGGAAAACTACAAAATTTAGCGCATTTTCCTTTTTATTCTGTATATAACTATCATTACAAGAATTGTACTGAAAACATAAACTTTTTCGTGGCAATTTATTGTCCTTTATGTTCACCAAAAGGTTTTATTTTAAACCAATTACTTTAACTTTTTATTTGTTTAGGTTCCATCTGTTTTAATTTGGTTATGCTGTGCAATAAAAAGGATAATCATAAATACTACAATCTTTCAACTCTGGACACATTAATACAGCATGCAAATTTGGGCCAATCATATGTCAAGGACATTTTTAAATATGTGAGTATGTACACAGCGACATGCATTATCTTAATAGGTGAAAAGCAGTTTTGATGTGGATTGGCAAATCACTTTACCAAGCAGATCACAAATTCAAATATTGATGGTTTCACATGTTGCATATCTCCAATCCATACCATCAAAAGCTGGTGGTAGAACATGCAGCTTCTGTGCCTCTTATTCTTCTTTCCTGATCTTTGAAAATAATAATTAACAAAAGCCATAGTGGCATGGGCTATGAAACCCAAAATCCATTTCATGATGAATTATCACTCAATATATCAGAGATAGCAGCATAACCAGTACATAAATAAGAACACAATAAGTGCATGCTTGTTATACTGACCTCCTCACTCAGATTGGATACCAGGACCACAGGTCCCGTGGTCATCCCGCCCAACTGTAAGCCTGCCAGACCCATACTTGTTGCTCCAGGAGATGGCTGCATACCAGGGAACCCCGCCAGAGGTGACCCACCACCAGCTCCACCAGCTGCAAGAAAATGCCAGTTTGCATATGTAAAACACAACCCTTACACTACATGACTAGACTGTAGAGGGCAGCACAGATGTAACCTCCACTCCTCGAAGTGGCATCGGTATATCAATCTACTTATGCTATTCTTTTTCATCCACAAATGGTGGCTTCAGTTTCTAACTTTCTTTTATTTAGTTCCAACTGAAAACAACACTGCTTAACAGAAATAACTCAAATATGAGTATGTATGTAATTATCTATCAAAACACATGATGCCTATGCTATTTTCCAAGTGCAACCCCATGCCCCATATTGTGCAGATATGTATCAACATCACATGGGCCAGATATTCACTCAGTAAAGTAACAAAACAGACTTAATTCTGAAATAGGTACAACAGCATAGTCCTGTTTCACACACACATAAAAAACTTTAGTCAGTGGACTAAAATTTGCTGATAAAAACATGAAGTCTACTACATGCTTTCTGTCTCAGACAGTTTCACCACCGATTAGCTAATTAAAACTCAGCAGCCCTACAAAGCCACTATTGTGAGCATGTTTCAGTGTCTAGTCTATTATATTTTGCTTTCAAGATTGAGAGTACAACTTTAAAAAATGTGATAAAACACAGAAGTGATTTTTTTTTTGTAAAACAACCTGGACAGATATTGTTCCACTGACCAAAGATTCTTTGTGAAGTTCAGCTTGGGTTTCTACATCCTCTCATCCCTCTTGGTCTGTTCTTACTAGTGTTCTTTTTTCATCTTACATTTAAAGCTGACAAACACACACATGCAGGGTTAAGGGTAATGAACACTTACCTGGCAATCCCCTCATTTGTGCTGCTACAGTACGGACAAAAAAAAAAAAAAAAAAAGAAATAGCACAAATAAGCATGGGAAACTAAACAGCACATGCAAACAATACCATACCCTATCCTCAAGACAAATACTGTTCAAGAAATCATATCAAAATCTGGCATGGTGCTCCCTACTCGTGGGACATGCACCTTAATTTCTTTGAAAACTTTTTGCACATAATTTTTTCTTCAAACCGCCATTTTGTTCTTGACATTTTGACAAATACACATCTGATCTTTTTGGGAGTAAAAAAACTAACTAACCACAACATGATTATAATTAAAATAACTAAAACATGATGTATGATTGACTACAATATAACAAAATGTATTAAAGCATGGTGGTAGCAAAGGATAATCATGCAAATTTTTATTTTCTTTTAATTTCTAAAATAACTCTCTATCCCCAAAAACTAATGCAAACAAATAAGTTATATACACTGTGAAAATAAGTCAAGTATGTAAAACAAACTATGAACAGAGCTGAATGCATCTATCTTCCTGAAACTGCATGCATCACCCCATAATTTTTTTTTCTAAAGAGAGATGTAAGTTTTTTTTCTATACACCATGCAAAGCTACAAATAGATTGATAAGAGTTTTCCCCAAACCCCAAATCAAAGCCCAATGATGATGATTCTCAAATCACAACATAATATATCATGCAAATCAAAAAGTGGAAGCAGAAAGATCTGGATCATGTCTCAATATAATGAGTTTTGAATGAGTTTCTCACTTTCAGTTTTTCAAGAAACGTGAACTTGAGGGAGTCTAATAAATGCTTGACTCACTCATGAACCAAAATGCAAAAGTTTAAGTTTGAGTATCTGTTTTGGGTTTTGTTGTTTAAATGTCTGCCGAAAAACCAATATTCAATGTTTTCAAACTCCTCTAATAATTTTTAAATTGGTCTGTAACCCAAAAAGTTTACATCAATTACCAAGTAATACAATAAATTAATGATAAAATATGGTATTGTGTCCATTTATTTCCACAAATGACACATGCATATATCAGACATGAGCCTAGGTTTCAAAAAGAAAAAAAAAATTCTGAACATTTATCATGGAAGATCTTGATGAATCTCCGGAACCATCAGAATTGAATTAAAAAATGTGGAAAAAGCTCATGTCTGATATTTTAGGTTTTACATCAAGTTATTCCAAAAAGTGTTTTCTATTTACACATCTTTGTACATCAGATCTTGCTGCCTCCCACAACATTTAAGAAAAAAAAACTTAATAAGTGAATCAAATAAAAGTGCATCAACAAATCAAAAGCTTACTAAATGGGTTAGTGTGGTATAGACCATCAAGCTGCGTACCTCCCGCAGGGTGAGCGGCACCGTACGCTGTTAGTTGAGTGGCTCCGAAACCAGGTACAGCTGTCGCAAATGGTGATGCCAGAACACTTGGGGTACCTTGTGACACATATGAGATGAGATATGTCATGCTATTGGTCAATCACAGTGGCGGAGGAGGAGGAACAGAAAATGAGTGACAGAACAGGTCACAGATTTAGACAAGTGGAGTGCCTCCGTTCAGTCACAGGTTTTTTTTTTTTTTTTTTTTTTTATTTTGACTGTCCAATTAATACAGGTCACCCTTTCATCTCGATAAATTTAGCTTGAAATTCCCTAAATTTCAGAATGCATGACATATTTTCCTTTTCCCCACCCCATCCCTTTCTTTTTCTTTTTGAACAAAATGGCAGATATGAATAAAAGTTAAGGATAGGGAATAAAAGCGAACACAGCTTGAAGCAAGGTCAAAGACAAGTACTGACAGACAGACAGACAGCAGACATCACAAAGCTAAAGACTGAAATACAAAGTGAATATCCACAGGGTGAAACTTTTTATTTTAGCAAAACATCCATGTAGAAAATGGAGGTCTCTCCTGCAGCTGACAAACAAAGCAGCTCTTAACTAACCTAAAGCATAATCATAAATAGAAGTTCACCCTGTGATAATTGTAGGAAGAACAGAATTATCAGTGCCATGTATAAGTGACCATAGTTGGTCACAGCAATCCACAGTCTTAAAAGGCTATCTTGTAAGTTCCCCTTATATCATAATATGTGGCCTGACATTTTGAGACTATTACCAGACTTTATGGAGGCAGATGTTGAAACTTGCCCAAAGAAGGCAAGAGGGAAAGCGAACAAATGTGTCATGATGATACACCCAACACAAAATTCTTCAAAAAAACTCAATTGTTTCCATGTTCTACTTCGTTAATATATACAAAACCAAACAACCAATTCATCTAATAAAACAAATTACTGCAAAAAATAATTAATTCTAAAATACAGAAGTGTTACCTTGACACAAGTTACTGAAAAAACATACTTTTTAGCGTGCATTGAGTGCATAAAAATAATTAGACCAGAAAGAATGTGTTCAGTGCA